ATATATATATACAGTGTACAGTTTGATTACGTGAAATATATATTTGTATATGGGATTTGTTGTGCCAGTGATTCAAACAGCTTGTTGGTTTTATTTTAGGACTTGCAGATGTAAATTCCTGGAGGCAATACTGTAATATACAAATAAACCTTTTGTCCAACTTCCACATTTTGTACGAACAGTGTTGAATTGTTTTTTTTTTTTCTTGTCCAAGCCACTGTTTCATAGAAACTTTAATTTCCATAATGCTCACAAGCAAATCTATGAAGAACCTGAACAGAAAAACCGCAGCAGTTCCTCTTGTGTTCAAACAAAATCAGCATCAGTTTGTAACAATTTTCAGTGATCACGAAACCTCAACGGCAACAAAAAAGGAGCAATTCTAAGTTTTTATGCTTGCATTAACAACATGGAAATGTTTTCCTCTCTTTTAAGCTATTTGAAAACCAAACAAGCTTTAGGTGTTTTTAGTAAGCAAGTTCCTTTCTTTCTTTATGTTTCAGTCAGATGACATCACCAAGTCTTTAAGATGAGTGCTTGTCCCATTATGACTAATACTCTTGCTATTTACACAAAAGCCCCAAAATACTTCAAAGGCATCCTCAAAAACAGGCCTGTCCTCCTTGGTATAAGTGATTACAGCCAGCCTTGATTGCATGTGAGGGGCATTTAGTCAGGTAAGCATCAGTGAGTAACTATATTAAACCAATACATCTTGCATTGTAAAAACTACGCTCAGTAATGTCATGTTCCTAAGTTCTTTAACATGCTTTATTAGGCAGCCTCGAGGTGACCATTATCTATCAGCCTGCTCTGCACAGCTCCTAACTAGGACAATGTGGATTCCTTGTAACGCGCCATATGAAAAAAAAATCCCTCCCCTAATCTATTTTTTTCCTCCGGATAGACAAACCTTGATGCTGATTAATGGTAGTTAAACTCACAAGTACTTCGTCAGTGAGATTGCAAATAGATGGTAATGTATTAGAGTCATTAAATACGCATCATTCTTGTGGCATGAAATATGTTGACCCCAACCTGATTATATACATAATTAAAACTGCCTCAGCAGCTCCTGAGCACAGAGCCGCCAAGCAGAGAAAGAGCGAGCGGGTCGACAGGCAGGAGTCATAATGATGCACAGCAGCCATGTCACTTATTTTGGTCATTTGTCATTTTCGCACATTATTCCAGCGAATTTAAATCGCAGCATTTTATTTTTCCGGCACTTGAGGCTTTGAGTGCACGTGGCAAATTTTGTAAAATTCTAAGAATAATCAAATCTACGCTTTAAAAAGCTGTAGTTCGTGCAAGGTTTCCCCTTTTAAAGACATCTAAAGCAGCATATCTGCTGAAAATGAATTACTAAACTCTAGTGAGTCACAGTACATGCTAAGGCCCGGTGCAGTGAGGTCCATACCACCTTGTCCTCTCACTGCAACACTGGCTCTTCTTGCTGTCATGATCAGAGAGCTGAGCAGCGACCCACAATGAAGCAAGATTGCTTGGACAGAAATCAATACCACCACGGAATGGGAATCAGAAGGCATTGATAGCAGCACCGGGTCCTTATCAGTGTCCAGGCTGCCCTAGCAGGGCACAGCCGAGTGGAAAGCTATCCAGAAATCTGGACAGAAGCAGACTGGAGAGAGAAAAAAAAGAAAAAAGAAAACACCCCTYGCAGCACTATCACCCTATCAAACATGTCGCTCCCATGCTGTAATCCATCTTCTCCAAAACAATTCATTTGTCCTCTTTTTTTCCCCTTCCTCATTACAGAAAGGAACGAAGGCTCCACAGGCTGCGGGGAAGATCCACACAGACTTTGAGAGGGGCTTCATTATGGCAGAAGTAATGAAATTCCAGGATTTTAAAGAAGAAGGCAGCGAGAGCGCTGTCAAGGTGAGCAGTTAGTGTGCCAGTGGAGATGAGGGGAAGTCTCCTGTGATCAGTGGAGCTGACAGTCACCACACAGCTCCCACTGAAAACTCCTCTTCACCTTTACTCAGGGGAAGAAATTACTGCACACACTCCAGCACCACTCGTGACAAGCCAACTGATTCGGGCTCTAAACACTGCCATTGTGCTCCAGCTGTGCATATCTTTATCACAATGTGTCCTAACTGGCTGATGGCAGTTCTTTGCTTGTGGCTCGGCACAGTCGCTCAGAGGAAGCACTTCTTCACCTCACCAGGCATTTATCAGATCTATACAGCGCGCTGTTGGCTTATAGAGCTCTCCTTCGCCAAATCCTCGAGCTGCTGGAGGCATGCGACAGTGATTTAAAGTGGCAAGTTAAATAAAGTGTAAAATTCCTCAAATAAGGACTGCTTCAAGGATGAGYAGTGCAGGAATATGACTTGCATATCTTATTTTTTTATGTCGGCTAGTGTTTGTTTTGACCTTTCAGCTGCTCTGCAGGTTGCTCATGTGCACTCTCCAGACAAATGCAATCAGTGATTTTATAGGGAGTTTGCACAGAACTACTGCTGGTACTCTGAAAAATGCATTTAAAACGGTTCTGCGAGTTGAAAGAGACGGAGCTTTTGAAGTGGGGTTTTATGGAGAGGTGATGAACAAATAATATCTAACCTTCAACAGATAGCTCTTTGAATGACCACAGTTTAGGAAGTTCTGACCAGATTCATGAGCTAATGGCTGGTCTGTGCAAGACAAGCCCAAAGTGGATCGTACTCATTGTAAAAATTTTAAACTTTATTTTTATATTACAATCAGTGTCACATTTAATTCTGTTTTGTYAGTGAAAATATTAGTCATTTGAAACCTAAAACAGAGGCATGACAATCACTGTTAGCCAGTTGGGAGGACATTTTATTGATGGTATAACCCCGCATAGACACTGGCATCAAAAGTAAAATATGGCAAAACACTGACATTTTAGCTTCAACTTCAGACAATGKAAGTTATAGAGTTGCTTTATCCAATTTTATTGATTTCAGTGAGCTGTCTACAACAGGTAAGATATTAATTGTTCAATCCCTTTCCACATAACCCACCTTCACAAATTTTGAGTTCTAGATCAAAACTTAAAAGTTCAGAGTTAAAAACCAACTAGTTAACGCTGTTGGATCATTTATAATTATGTTTCAGTGAAGTGGGGGGAAATCTTTTTTTTTTTTTTTTGTTAATTAAACGAAAGCAGAAGTGAGTAACTTTGCTTTCCATGACCCTTGTGAGCAGCGGCTGTAAGCCATGCTGGTACAATCTCTTTATCGGCAACTCCACGTGCCCACTTCCACACTCAGCTAATGTAATTATGGTGACACAAAAGGCCCGTGGGGACCAGTGTGGAAGAAAGCGCACACACACACACACAAAAAAAAAACATTTAAAACTCTTTATTCAAACTCCCTTTTCTCCATAAATATTTGATATTTAATGCAGTGGCAGGGTATTGTCCTTCATACGCTGCCAACGGAAATGTGTCAGTCTCTTAGGAGGGGGGGTGGGGGGTTCACCATTGTTATCCGGGGTTCAGATCTGAGTGTCAGGTCCTTACTGCGTGCTCTCTTACTAATCCCTTTTTGAGCCTTAGAAGAACATAGAGCGTTTCTGACTGGGGCATTAAGGTCTGTGCTATTTAATGCCAGTTGTGGGAATAGGCAGCCTGAATAGGGCCAGTGTACGGGGATATCACATTATTAGTAATCATATCTGCTTAAGCCAAGCTTGCTGCTCCAGATGGCTGCTTTCAAGTGCAAATGAACCAGTTAGATGTGTCTGGTTTAATACATACTTAGGAATCACAAATAGCCATTGATTTTTTTTTCCTGTCTCCCTCTCCATCCAGTGTTTCTGGTGGTATTGAGCTTGGATTAAATGGTCTCCTGAGCCTTTAAAGGGACATTGATTCCTCTAATTAATTGTGCACCGTGCAGAACCAGAATGCATAAACCTGTCTGTATTAGCACTTCAAGTCAATTATTTTGAGTTTGTCGGGAAGGAGAACAAACACTTACTGTACACAAAAGAAATGATAGAACTTATTTTGTTTCCTTGAGAAGTTTCATAGTGCTGCCATCAAAGACTTATTAACATTTTGTGCCTGTGCACATGAAAACTCAAATGGGCAGAAGAGAGGATTACTCACTCAGTGGGAATTCAGGCACCCCATCGGCATACATGCATGCAGTTGTGTGTGTGTGTGCGTGTGTGTGTGTGTGTTTGATACATGCAAGTGCAGTTTCATTATTGAAAACGATGAAATGGACTAATCCTGTATGATTATTTTAGTTATTTTTAACAATGCACAGGTCTGTTATGTGTTTTTACCACTCATTACACTGGGAACAGGTAAATTGTGCTAAAAAATTATTTCTTTTTTTTTACTTTGATTTCTTGCAGGCAGCTGGAAAATACAGACAACAGGGACGAAACTACACCGTTGAGGATGGAGACATCATCTTTTTCAAATTCAATGCACCGAACGCACCAAAGAAGAAGTGACAATAAGATCCACATTTATGCCTRCATACTCGACTGTCTTTTATTTTGGAATGGTGGATACCCACTGTCACCTCCTAACTTTCAGTTCCCCATCTTCTGAGATCAAATTTCACCTCACAAAATGAAAGACAGCTCAGCCATTTAAGATCAGGATCAGTCCCCCCACCCTGTCTCCAAACTGTAGCAGCATTTGAAGGAGCATATTACTCTCCAGATACTTCATTAATCTCCATCACGACTGCCAGCACTGACACAGCTGACAGTGGGGACAATGCCACCTGCTCCTCTCCCCCTTCTGCAGATAATGCATGTTTTACAGTAGGCCAGATGTCTACACTCAATAAAACATTTGACAAAACCAGCCTGTGTGTGTGTTTAGGGATGTCTGTATTGAGTGGAAAGCTGCATGGGGACGGTGATAGCGGTCCTGCCGACCACTGATTAGAGAATTAAAAGACACAGCTGACATTGACTGTAGCATAGAGAGGACAATTATAATTAAGTCTGTTAAGTGATGCTGATTTTTGGAAGGGCACATGGAGGATGCAGGTGTCTCTGCAGAGGAAGTGGTCACTTTAAATTATTATTTGTGAAGAGCTTGAGTTAACCTTTTGTTTACAGCTTTTTTTTGCACATTACTGAATAATTTCTCTTTGAGTCGTGCACAAATAGTTCTCGGAAATGTTTAAATCTTGACAGAGTGGGACTTTTGTTTGCAGCTCTTACAGCTGTCTGAATGGTGAAAACAAACAGGAGAAAATAATAATTCCTGTCTTCTTGAAAAATAAAAATAAAAAAATCCACATTTTAGGATATTCGGCACCCAAGTTGTCAAAAAAAATAAAAAAAAGAAGATTCATGTTGTGTGAAGCAGTGTTTTTCTCGCCCCTATACTTTGTGTGTAAGTGTTTGTGAAGCGTTTATGCTGATGGGATTGTATGGCTGCAGCCGCGGTACTCTGGAGTAAGATTGTATTCTCTGTGGGAGTCCGGACAAAAGAGCTGCAGATGAGCRGTGCTTTGCTGAATATCTTGTAACCATTAAGAGTACAGCAAAAAGAAAAAAGCCCGTTTGATGGGAACAAAAAAAAAGATTGAATAAAAATGATCTTTTTTTTACAGGGAAAAAAAGTGTTACAACTTTTGGATGGGATGTTTTATAGAGCCAGCACTACAAAGCATAGTGTTTGTCATGAAAATAAGGCAGATTATGGTCTTTTGGGGTTTGAGATCAGTGGCAAAATATAGTGTGGTGTTTATCATGCTTATTTAAAAAGAATGCTAGATGAAAACATGTGGACCAAATAAAACGAGGTGTTTAGCTTTGTGTTAATCACTGGTTTTAATCACTCAAATTTCATACATCAGTAAAATAAAGAACCACCAGCTCTAATACACTAAATACTTTTCCAACAAGCTTCAGCTGACAGTTATTTTTTTTAAGTGAAACCATTTATATTCTCTGGTGAGCACAATGGGGGCTTGAGACAAAACTGTTTTTGCATTCTTCTCGAGATGGTGTTGGCCAACCTAAAGCCCACACAAAAGATTATTCATCTGTGCTGCAATTTTGAGGCTCGGGGATTGATGAGTTCTTCCCAGTGGTCTGGGTTGTGGAGAATTTTGTTTTTCATAAAACGCCTATAAATCTTTTAGGGCGAGTAATAAAGCTATTTAGAATCAAAACACCAAGAAACAAAAAAGCCTGATTGGTCCTTAACATGATGTTTCGGGCTTTTGTACCAACATTTGTGCAGAGACAGAGAAGACAAGATAATCAAGTGTCTTTTCTGACGTCATGAACTTATTTAGCTATTTTAAACATAACATCATTGTGAAAACAACAGGGCATAGGTGTTTGCAACAGTTAGCAAATATAGCAAGCTGCCCTGCAGGACTCGTAAAGCGAGCCAAGAAAAGTGAYCGAATCTCCTTAGAAATCTCCTGTCAGCGGCATCAATCATGTGGTGCCACTCTGCCCCAAGGCGAACCACAGTGGCATCAAACCAAAGAAGAGTGGAAAGCTGCCTTTAAAACACACACACCCAACAAAAGAGACCATGGCCCGCTGCAGTAAATCACGCTGCCCTCTCACCAACAGCCTTTGAAGAATTTAAAGAAAGAATTTACGAGTTATAACAAATAAACATGTGGTATTTTTTTTTCAGGGCAATAACTGTGCACAGGGGATCGAGTTGGGAAATTCATTGGTTATAAGAAACACAGCGCATCATATTATCAAAAGAGGAAATTATCTCTATTTTGGATGACAATAAAGACGTGTAATTGTTGCTGTTGTGTCATTTTTCTGCCTGGCACTTGTGCTGCACATGGAACAGACGTGGAGCCAAAACGGCTCCAGGATTTGACTAAAATAACCGTTAATGTTCATATACTGCAGTTAGTGCAACAATTTCCACTGGCTAAATCTGTAGCATGATGATACAGCAAATCTGCTGTGATTTATTGTTTTTTCCTGTCATGAGGATGGCACTTTGTTGATGGAGCACTGAGTGATAGGAATGCCATAAACAGCTAAGGCTGTTTAATTCACACTCTGCAAAATTTAGTTCCTCCTTTTCTGCATTGTTTTTGCCACAAACACTTTTCTGGCATAAAGCATATATTACAGCTACTTTTATTAGCTATAATAATGCAACAAAATGTGGTTTAATTTAAATGCTTCTTTCAACTTAGAAAAAAAAGGTCTACAAGAATATCGAACTACAAAGTACATTTCCTGTTAAATCATTCTTTATTGCTTGTTCAATTAAGCTGCCTTTTATCCTTTATTTATATGTAAAAAGCAACATATTAAACTACAGCGTGTTCTTATTTTCTGTCACTAATATCTAAAAATAAAAGAGCAAAATATTTGCAACAATCTAAAACATAATACAAAACTTAGCTTGCAACAGAATTTTTAAACAACATATCTAAAATAAAACTTTGCAAACTGTGAATAAAACTGAATTTAATTAAAAACTAGCATTTATTTGCTAACTTTTAGCTCAATACCTGCTTAATTAACTGATATATTATGTTTGCATAGGTTGAGTAATTGTAGTCATTTTAAATCTGGTTGAGTCCAGAAAGTTTGTCCAGTGATTCATGATATATTTTGTTAATAGACACATAAAAAACAAATTATACAATCCCTCACCTTTCATTGATGTGTTAAACAGAGTAAAAATGGAACTTATAGTTTCAAATTCAAAGCCAGCAGCTTGTTTCCAAAGGTTGGGGTTCTGTGATTTCTTTTTACAACACTGAGAAGGCCAAGTAAAGTGAATATTTTCAAGTTTTTGCACCATGTAGGAGTTTAACCAAAAACTGATCTCAGAGTCTGATCTGTCATTGTACTGCAGAGAGACACGTGTTTTCTAAGTGTTAGAATTGGCAGTTTCATTCAGCATTGTGTCTCCACACATGATTACAAATATTTTGTTGTACTTTAAAAAGTAGTCTTATAAAAAGCTGAATAGTCTTTTAAAAGTGAATGACAGTGTTTCTTTTTCTTGACACTGTAAARTTTTAATGATTCAGTTTTTGCATGAAAGAACAAACTTTCTCACTRATTACTTTTAAAATGGTCTCAGGCCCAGAGCAGTGGTTCTGATGTAGAAGYGTCTGTTTTTACTGCACGAGGACCTGAAAATGAGGACAAGTCAAGTTTAACTTTTAATCTTTGTTCTATTCATTAAAAGGTTCATTCGAATAATCGGGGGTGAATAAATATCAACTTTTCTTTTTTTTTTATTTAAGTTCTTCAAAAGTTATTCTATTTTATATGTTTTTATATATTTGTTTTAAATGCATTAAAAAATTTCTTTCTCTGTGTATCAGTTTATTGTCACCMAAAGGGTGCAAAATTGCAAAATGAGCAAAATATAATATGAAACATGATCAAAATTTTGATGACAATCTCAACAAGTAGTTACTGGACTCACATCTACAACTGATTACCTTTCGGAGTCMGTTTAATACAAGCAGGCCACCATAGTTGACCTTAGCCAACCCAACATGAGAAACATGGACAAATTTACAAATATTTAACTTACATGTGATGTGGTAGCAGCTGAATCATTCCCAGCTCGTGAGCACAGAATTGACTTTTTTTCTTAATTTGACCAAAACAGCTTCAATATTGTCATTTTTCAACATAAAATGATTTTAATCTAAAACTCTATCATGAAACTCACCAGGAAATTCATTCAAAGTATGCTCTTTAATCTCACATGTTTCAGTATTCAGCGATGTTACGCTGGGAAGCATTATTGCTATTCTGTTTACGTATTAATTCTCAGTATGTCCAAAATACTACCATTTGTTTTTTTTTTGTTTTGTTTTTTTTAGTTTGTGTGTTTCAAGTACATTTGTGTTGCCTGTGACACACATTTGATATTCCATCCACATTTCTTGATGCTGCACCAGTTTCAATTTTCTCTCTCAGGTCCATTTACGGTACTCCAGTCGGGCAGTTTGTCTCTGTGGGGTCACTCTCTGCTTCACAGGCCTCCATGAAAACAACTGTCAATATGTTAATGTTAAACTCTCTTTGACTCTCTTCCATGTGTCTCCACTGCTAATGTTTACATCTAATTTATTTTAAACTATCCCACAAAGCTCTGCTACTAAATACCAACACGATACTCAAAGAGTAAAGACAGCAAAAACATCTGTTTATRCACATCTGTCACACTGAATCTGTGCAGATGCTCCAAAACTCCCACTGGCTCTACAGACTTCACAGATTCCTCTCACAAGKTGAATGCAGGTCCTGTCAATACATTCTTACTTGCTTTGTTTGCAGCAGCTGAAGATGACACTCACAGATCAGAAGGCAACACGGTGGAAGTTACATGTCTGTGTGAACCACTGCCTCCATCACAGAGCTGCATTTGTATTGCTTTTAGGATATTTGACTTTTTCCTTTAACTTGGAGGTCTTTGTAGAAATTGTTGATACATTTCCAAGGACTCCTGGAGCAAGACGGACGTAGCCGCGAGGTTTTCTAAAGCTGTTTCCATTGGCCTGTGTTTACCTGACACTTGGATTGACAGCAGAGTGATTGGAAATATCCACCATTCACTGCTGYGAGCTCCTGAGTGCAGGGAAAGTGCTTTTGTAGTCTGGCTGTAATGGGCCAAGTTTGAATTGAAGGTTGGGAGAAATAGCCTCACTGCGGTCGCGGACTGTGCGGAACTGACACACCACAAATAATACTCAGAAGTGGGGTCCTGATAGCATCACAGCCGCAGAGCAAATACAATAGCATGCAGGCTCTCATTTCAATGCACTTTTCACAATGTTGTAATCTGCACAGTCAGATGGAGGGGAAGAAATCCAGTCAAATACCAACTCAGGTGCTGTATGGGCTGTGTTATTTTTCTGAAAATTCTGACACAAAAAGTGCTAAATGTGCACAATTAGTTTGCAGAATTATGAGCCGGGACACATGTTGTGATTTTATAAATCTAGKAGTGTCTTAATCAGTGCTTTTGCAGACTTTACTGCATTAATTGTTAAATGAATATACTCACAGCTGATTCACTAGAGCCATTCTGTCACCAAGAATTTGCATCTCCATAGGTGGGGCTCTGGGTATGCAAAAAGGCAGCGTACAAGCACAAACACCTTGTTACAGCTGTTGATCTGAAATTAGTTTTTCTTTCATAAATGCTATAGTCATCAATTGTATTAAAAACATACAATTATAAAACCTAAATGTTGACAGACAATGTGTGAGCACTGGTACAGGAGTGCAACAAATGTTAAAAAAGAAAAAAAATCACCCTCAGAGCAAACATGTTAGTATGTATTTTGCTTAAAATGATGTAGTTGATTAAATCGTCAACTAAAAGCATCTCTAAAAAATGAAAACATCAGCTATGATCTCAAAGGAGTTATTGCTGCTCACGGTAAGACTTTCACATTTTTGAGTCATGTAGAAAAAAATTGTGAATATGTAGTTCTATTACTATTATAGTGTCATATATTCTATTAACACCAATATTATTTCTTGTGGTTTGTTTCTCTTTGTTGTTTGTTTGTTTGTTTGTTTGTTTTTGTTTGTTTGTTTGCATGTAAAGCACGTTAACCAAGATTTTAGTCATAAAGTTTATTTGACAAAACAAAGTATATTTGAGTACTAGTAATTAAATAACTTGTAAATAAGTTTGACTTTTGTGCTTTGAAGACTTTGACAGTATTAATAGGTTCTTTATCTTGAAATCATGACACATATTTCCTATTATGTCCCACAGCCCTGAACTGGACAAAGTTGATCGGCTACAGAGGATGGATGGATGGATGGATGGATGGATGGATGGATGGATGGATGGATGGATGGATGGATGGATGGATGGATGGATGGATGGATGGATGGGAAACTGCAAAAAATCAGTCCAGCAGCAAATTTGTTGAGGCAATTCATTAGATATGAATGTCTTTCAATTCTGGACATTCAGAAATATTGTTTTTTATAAGTGGAAAGGTGTGTTTTAATATAATTGTAGAAGTTAAATTGTATTTAGTAACACTGAATATATTGTGAACTTATGAATATTTGATGTCAAAGCTTGGACAATATTTATGGCCTCTAGATAATCGTTTTACCTTTATTCAACACTTTTAAAACTGAACGTGAGAAAAGCTATTACGGTTCAGATAATAGGCTAAGTTTTAAAGCTAATTTGTTGTTTTGTTTAACCTGGAGACTGCATCATGATAAAACTTCCACAAACCTAACTATAAAGGAGAGTTTATAAGCTATGATAAGGTCTTTCTATAAGCATTTTAGATTCAGTTATATAAACAATTTAAATGAAGGTAAACAATGCAAACCTCTCTGCCACCTACACTGTTAACACTAAGCATGCATAAGAAACAGGAAAAGAACCCAACAAAGAATGATTGACATGTTGATTGACAAATAATACTACGGTATGTGTTAGAAACAGCCAATCACCTTTCTACACTAAAAGGCGGGACTTCCTGTCTGTGACGCAGTTACTCCCAGTCAACAGAGGAGGCCCCACCCTTTGTGTTACCTACTGCCCGTCAATCAAAATACAAAAAAAATCTGACACTTATCACCTATTTTTGCACGTATACAATCAATTTATGGCGCTCAAGATGTTCCGTGGTTTGTGACTTTCAGGACTTTCCGGTTAGAGACAAGTCACGCAATGACCGGTATGTAATTGCTAATTTTCTTTACCCACATAAGCTAACAGGCTATGGCATCCTCTGGCTAAATTAGCTGCTAACGGAGATGTTTGTTGCTGTTATTGCTAATCATCGCACGACTACGATAGCAGCGTAACTATTCTGGTCCAGCTTGGTTATAACTTCATATTATTAAACTTCCTTTTAACAAATCACATCCGCTTTGCAGTTTTATAATTATGCTCTTGTTCGCCTTTTCAGCGACGCTTAYGCTAGTCCTCAGGTACAGCTAGCATTAGCCTCGGCTCTCTTGTGTACTTTTCTGTCATCTTCAAATTATTATTTGTTGCCTTCCAGCCCCAGAACAGCCACTGAAACCAGATGATATGGCTGCCCCGGATGCTGACCAGAGTCAAGATGACTTTATGCAGCAGGAAGTGAGCAGTGGCAATCAGGTAAGATTTCTATCTTGTTGCTGAAAGCTAAAGGGTTGAAGCGTTGTTACCGGAGTGTTATTAGAGGTAGTGGAGAAATATATAAACTCATTTGAACTTGAAGGCAACACTTCCTTTCAAGGTCCTCAATAATCCCCCCATCTGATGTACAGTACAGTTCAGTTTATTTAAAAAGCTCAGACCTACATAGCTTTATTATAGTTTCTTTAATTAAGTGATTTCCCTTAGCAGACAAATTGTGCAGTGTTGGTTGTTGTTGTTTTTGTTGTTTTACAGCAGTGACATTAATCCTGTTTGACATGACATTAACTTTCATCCTAGCTGATTTTGTCTTAAGTGAACAGCTCTGAGTACTAATGTTCACACCTGACAATAAAATCCACTCGGGGAGAGCGGACCTGCATATATAAACATCACACAATCAGCTGTCAGCTGAGAAACAAACTAGACAACAGCTGGTGTTTCTGTAAATTCACAAAAACATGTTTCAAATTCACCTCAGACTCATTTTTGTTCAGTTAATTATAAAAATCTTAAAAAATTTCTATATGTAAGCTAAGAAATGCAATATGAGATTTGTATAAAGAAGCATAAAATGATTTGTGACTTTATAGAGGCCATTGTGAATGCAAAAATACAATTTTTTTAAAAACGCCTGAGATGACTCATGGACAGACTTTTTGGTTTAGCTGTTTTTACATGACTTCAATGCAATCACAAGTTCTGTGAAAAGGTGTTATGCAACATATTGTTCAAAAGTTTCAATTTTAATATGAGCAAGATYTGAACAATCAAAACATTGTAGAGCAAACTTACAATGAAAGCCTAGTGATAATCTACTGATTAATATATAMATTTTTAATTTACTTACCGTTATTTAACCAGGCATGCAAAGTCAGCACAGGAAGACCCCAGGTCCAAATAGGGATCAAACCCAGGACCTTCTTCCTGTGAGGGGTTAGTGCTAACCACTGAGCCGTTGTGCTGCCCAAATTTAATTTCAATGCAACAGTATTTTTTCTTATTTGTTTATTTATTGTTTTAATGTTTGTAATGTTTATTTTTACACATTTGTTATTGTTGTTAATTGTAACACCTGGTGAGTTATAAAGGGGTCATTACTCCCCGGGAAGGATTTGCATTCAGACTATTACTATAACATAAAAGTTCCCAGATAACCTCTGAATGTGGCCTGAGAGATTAGATCTAAGTGCACCCCTATTTTCACCTGTATTTGGTTTTGTTATCTCATGACTGAATGTTGGTTGGTGCTGCATCTGAACAGTGACTTTATTTAAATGCACCTTTTCTTTTTTTTTAACTAGAAAATTATGTTTCAGCAGAATCATGGAGCATTACATTTTGTGGCCAGTACCACGTGAAAGGCGAAATGTGTCTTATTGGGACCGTCCTGTTCAAATATAGGTAAATGAATTAATGGAACAAAAGGTGCAGAATATAAACTCCAGCCAAACATTTTGATCTAGGTGCTGCCTGAGGTGTTCAACACAGGAACCCTTAGCAATGAGTCACTTTTTCTGTGTGGCCCWCTGATGGCCACCCACTCCGTTCCCTTTAAAATTGTACCGTGTGGGTAGGACACACTTTGGCACTCAGACTCAGCAGCGACCTGCACTATGGGCCAACATCATCAGAGGTGTTGCCGCTGGTCGTGTGAACCTCTGCTGTGCCTGATTATAATTTTAGCAGAAGTAAATCCTTCAGTCACAGCTCAGCAATACTGATGGCAAGATATAGTTATATATAGTAATATAGTATATAGTTATATAGTTATAGTATGGTCAAGATGTGTTTACATCCCCTTGCAACACTGACTATGTTTGGTCTTGAGTATTTTGTAAAATAAAATTATTATGGTTTCATCTCCAGCTTGCCCCAGTTTATGGATTTAAGTTAAGAGCATTGTGCAGATAAGAAAACACTGATAAGAATTTATCAGCACGCCTCTGGTCTACATTTCATTTTAAGCAGCTTTAAGAGACTTTACTGCTTGATATATTAGTTATATAGTAAATGAACTCATTGTTAAAGCAGTATTAGCATTAGCATGCCAAATTAGAGTGTACTTTAGTTTATGTTGTATTTCTTTGCYACTCATTCTTTATGTTTGTCCATTTGCTCAGAAATCTTTTGACGGTGAGGAAAATTGGCTTTCAAAATGTGACAAGAGTACACCTGAACACAAAACACAACCTGAAAGGATGTACTTGCATATAGTGTTTTATAATATTTGTAAGCATGGTTGCTTTGATCAGTTTTACAATTTGGATAGACTGAGGATTTTTCTATTGATTTTAGTTTAAAATATTTTATTGCAAATTCACCTAAATGTTGTGTTGCTCTCACATTGTTGTGCTACATTCCTGCTCAGTTACAAGCCATTGCATCAAAACAAACTCGTCACAAGTTTATAATTATTTCTCTGGTTAATGATCTTTCTGGGTCTCACAGTGATTTTTGGGAGTTTTTGATTAGCTTTTTCTTTACACTTTATTGTCAAACCCAGCTTAACTAATATCAGTCAGTCAAGTTAATCTAATGAAGAATGGGGGGGGGGGGTGGCTACCATGAGCAATATAGTAACAAAACAGTCGTGGGTTGTAAGCACTTTGATTATGGGTTCCTGCATCATTGATGATGTAGTGAGAATTTGGTCTGTTGTTTGAGTCACTGTCAGATGTGAAATGTGAGTTATGGACTTCAGCTTTTAATTTTGTACAGTTAGTGATGTGTGAAAAATCTCACAGAAAAGCCAGGCGACTGGTGCAAATAAAAATGTAAGCATACATGTGAAACAAAACCTTATATTTTTCCTCACGTTTATGAAAAATAGTAGAGTTTTTCACCTAAATAATGGCCCTGGGGCTGCGCAGTATATGCAGTAGACGGTAGAAATTGTATGAAGCTGGCCTACGGTAGAAATTTACCCTCTACCGTCCTAACGTCATTACGTCATCGCACCTGTGTCAGCATGGCTGCGAGTGCAGAGAAAACTGAGCAGGAGTTCGAAATATAATGAAGAAATTGTAGTGTTTTAAAACACGTATAGAGAGAATAAATCCTCAAAATATCCTCCTCCCGCTGTAGAAAAGTTACRTCGTGTCGCGGGATCATTTCCTCCCTCCTCCCGCTGCACATCGCGCAGAGCAAAGCTTTAACAACTGTAGTTTCAAAGCTTTAACAAGTGTAGTTTTTCACACCCAATTGTCGGAGAAAAAAAATGTTTTTATGCATTGTTACCCACAGAGATTATTAAAAAAAACATGGACGCTCGTTCTGTCGTAAATCCATTTTGCTAATGTAAAGTCGGCTTCTGCTGTGATGATGAAGATGGGCACGCAGCAGAGCAGCAGCTGATAAGTTCAGCAGGCAGAAGCTCATTGTTTGGCAGGCAGATAATAAAGCAAAAATGTTGGGTTTAATTAAGATTACAGTTTTTTGCACAAAAAAGCTCTAAAAATTACATTATCTTAACTTTTTATGATAATTTTCTACCGCGATATATACCGTTACCGTGAAGGAGTTCAATTTATACCGTGATATAAATTTTAGGTCATACCGCCCAGCACTAAATGGCCCCTTTTTAGACTTTCAGACTGTGTTCAACACTGTTTTTATTAATATCACTCTCTTTCTTTTTTCAGACATCAGATTCATCTTCGCAACTTTCTGGGACTGACAAATGGGAGGTGCTAGCTCCCACAACAGCAGCAAATGATGAGTCTGGAATAATACAGATGGAAAGTCAGGGGATATTAACATCTAATGGACAGTATGTTCTCCCTCTCCAAAACTTACAAAGTCAGCCAATTTTTGTAACGTCTGGAATGAACGATTCCTCTGCCAACTCAGTGCCTAACATTCAGTACCAAGTAATCCCTCAGATTCAGACAGCAGATGGACAGCTGAGCTTCTCCACGTCAGGTGTCAAAGGACCAACCCTGACTCAGGATGCCACAGGGCAGATTCAGATCTTGTCTGATGGGAGCCAGGGTCTCAACCTGACATCATCTGCAAACATTCTCAACAACCAAAACCTCATTTCACAGACTGGTAATATCCAGCAGATCCAAGGGGTTTCTATTGGCAGCTCCACATTCAACAGCCAGGGCCAGGTTGTTACCAGTGTGCCTGTGGGTCTGCCAGGGAACATTACCTTTGTTCCCATTAACAGTGTCGACCTGGAATCCCTTGGCCTGTCAGGTGCTCAAACTATAGCAACGGGGGTCACTGCTGATGGCCAGCTAATTATGGCAAACCAGCCTGTGGATAGCTCAGAGAGCTTGAATAAGACAGATGATCACATTTCACAGACGATACCAGTAAGTAACTCTAATGCAAACACTGAGATCTTTGTGCCAACGTCTTCCTCTCAGCTGAATGTTCCAGAAAATGAAACTGGTCTGCTGACACAAGACGCTTCATTGACATCAGTTGCTGCAGAGCAACCCGACTCGAGTTCTGGCCTTCAGGAAGGCTTTGTCCAACAGAATCAGGAGCTTGGCGTCCAGGTGTCTTCAGCTCAGCCCATCATCCAACTGCAGCAGGTGCCTATTCAGACCACCAACGGTCAGGTGGTCCAGTCGGTGGCAACAGGTGGTCAGAACTTGCAGAACGTGCAACTAATCAACCCAGGAACCTTCATCATCCAAGCTCAGACGGTCACACCATCAGGTCAGATACAGTGGCAGACCTTTCAGGTACAAGGAGTGCAGAACCTTCAGAACCTGCAACTACCCACCACACCACCCCAGCAGATAACTCTGGCACCCGTCCAGACTCTGTCTTTGGGCGGCATCGGTGCAGGGCAGATTCCCAACCTGCAGACTGTGACCGTCAACTCAGCGGCCCAACAGGAAGGAGACACAGATACTCATGGAGGTACAGAAACTCTTTTTATTCAAATATTTATTAGAAATAATCTTTTCAGGCAGTAATACATTGTATCAAAGCTGTGCAAACATACAGACCTACAGGTTACGTTCCCTATTATCTTAGTATCACCTTCAGAATAGGCTCTGCTAACATCTTGAGTGTGCAGGTACTTTTAGTTTTTTTTTTATTCAGAAGAATTCAAAGGGCTCATTCTAATGCTATAATTATCTGACGAAGGTTTTACTTTTTGCTTTCTTGTTGTTTTTTTTATAAAGAATAAAAAACCTTTTAGTATTTTTGAAAAGGTCTACCTTAAGTCAGTTACTTTGAAATTGCCATAATTTATTCAGACACTGCATTTATTACAGTATTTTAAAGAAGGTCATTAAAAACTGCTTACAGTCCACAACAGGTAATCAGCAGTGACTTCTGTGTCCAAAGTAAAATGGCTCTTGTCTGTCACATTTTTCGTTAAGTATTATTTACAGACGTTGCTAATTGATTTTTTTTTATTAAACACCATTAGTTAATAGTCATTTCTTTTAAAGGCAGGGGAGCACAGAACTCACCTATAAATCTTAAAATAAATAATAGCTGAGGACATGAAGCTCATGCGGTTACAGGATGCTAAAATTGTTCGTGGTTGCTGAACCTGTCACGCTGTCGAGGTTTACGAGGGCACTCCAAAAGAGCACAACAATCCCTGATGGTTTTAATTACACCTGTGCTTTTCATAATGTGACAAGTTAAAATGTCTGCAATAAAACCGCTCTATAGTTTAGTCTGTGAAATCTTGACAACATCATACAAACGGCTGTTTATTTTTCTTGTGTAAAATAAAACAACAGTGTAGCAAACTAGTTTAAGTTTTTGGTTTATGTTTGTTGTAAATGTGCTTCATAGTGTCAACATAATGTTGTTCTTAATGTTTAGTGCAACATGATGATAGTCAACAAAGCGCAGGAAATGTTTTATTGTAACAGGTTGTGTTCTGATTTCCTCCTTGTCTAACCGTTTTCACAAAGAGGTGTAATGGTGCAAACAAAGACCTCACCTGTACCTGTTGTGCTTACCTTCACTCATTGGCATTTGTCACACAGAGGTTTTATTTATTTTTTTTAGTATTTTCTTGTAAAAAAACTGAAACAGACAGGTGGCACACAAATCAAAATTTAAGTTGCTCATTGGCTGAGTGAACCTCACTTCTGGTCAGCTTTGTTTAACTTCATCATTGCTAATGTTAAAAAATAACATTAGCATTTTGGAAACAATTTACTCTTAGTTTTGGAAAGACAAAATCACAAACCAAAAACAAAAACAAAGACCTGAAAATGAATATAACTTCGATCAACAGCTGTTCCTGTGGTGTAGGCACAAAAAAACAAAGGTTGTTTCTCCTGTAATCGAAACACTGGGGTTTGTATCATCTGATCACCTCTTGTACCGGCTCAATAGTGCAACACCACACCCATCTCTCCCAGTCCTCACTTGCTCATTAAGTATCTTTGGCTTACAAACATAATGGGAAAGCACGTAAAATCCATCCACCTCGCCTCAGACGGGCTGTGAACAGCTATTAGACTTTAAAGGGATCCCCGATTAGTTGTAACATTAGACTTTATTTGATAAACATATATTTTAACTGTAAAATAAAGACTGTAAAAATACTGTAGGCTGTTTAGTTTTATAATTTTTAAACTAAAAGTTAAAAGAAATATTACACGGGCAGGGCCATTTTATTTACACACAAAGCATTCTGGTTAAATGATGACATGGATAGGTCCTATTAGCGAGCTATAACCACCCTGAAGGTTAATCTTGGACAATATCTGACGATCGGCTCGTTTAAATGAAACCAGAGAGCGTTGACAGAGAGGAGAAGGTAGAAATGACTCAGCCTGTAACTGAAAATATGGATGGAGGACAACAGAGCTGCTTCATGGAAGAAGAACCTCAGCTTAGCCTGTTAGCCTTAGCGTCAGCCCTGACGCTATCACTATATATGTATTAGCTCAGCGCTACACATTCTCCTTTCATCACTGAGGTCCTCCATCCACATGACAGAGGGGAACGCAAAAATGACTCAGCCTGTAACTGAAAATATGGATGGAGGACTTCAGTTTAGCTTGTTGTTGCGCTAGCATCGAGCTAATACATATAAGGCAATATAGCATCGGCGCTAGCGCAAAGGCTAACAGGCTAAGCTGAGGTTCTTCCATGAAGCAGCTCTGTTGTCCTCATCCATATTTTCAGTTACAGGCTGAGTCATTTCTACCTTCTCTCTGTCAACGCTCTCTGGTTTCATTTAAAAGAGTCGATCATCAGATATTGTCCAAGATTAACCTTCAGGGTGGATATAGCTCGCTGGCAGCCTTGCGCCGAGGACCTATCAACGTCATCATTTAGCCAGAATGCTTTGTGTGTAAATAAAATGGCTCTGTCCGTGTTAAAATATATTTTAAAAAAATTACAAAACTAAACAGCCTACAGTATTTTTACAGTCTTTATTTTACAGTTAAAATATATGTTTATCAAATAAAGTCTAATGTTACAACTAATCAGGGATCCCTTTAAAACTGATGGATTTGTTGGCAATAAGATAATACTTTAATCATTTTTATAATTTAGATCTTTAGGAGAAACAAAGAGTTGCCTGTCGGTGTTTAGKTCTTGTGTTTCCGACTAACATAAGCTAAACAACAGTTTCAGATATTCGGATCAAAGAAGAGCCTGACTCAGGGGACTGGCTGAACACCAGCTCAACCCTGAACACAAACGATCTGTCGCACCTCCCTGGTGGGATCATAGATGAAGATGATCAGTTCGGTCAGGAGGGCAAGAGGCTGCGCAGAGTGGCGTGCACTTGTCCTAACTGCAAAGAGTCGGGGGGGAGGTGAGTTAGCCTGACTCGTGGTTTTACCAGTTCTCAAATCTGTATTTAAAAGGGGGAAACTCGTTAGGATCTTAAGCACCTCTATCTGTCTTTCTCAGGGGGTCCGGCACGGGCAAGAAGAAGCAGCACATCTGCCACATCGCAGGGTGTGGGAAAGTCTACGGAAAGACATCACACCTGCGAGCACACCTGCGCTGGCATTCAGGGGAGCGACCTTTTGTTTGCACCTGGATGTTCTGTGGGAAAAGGTTCACACGCAGCGATGAACTGCAGAGGCACAGGAGAACACACACAGGTGCCCCGCTTTTCTTCCTCCCTCTGAGTGCGCATCAGGAAAACGTCTAATAAGTCGGTGTAAAATGTGTTAATTTGTGCCCTGCAAAGCATGAGTCATAAGAAATAACAGTATCTGTACATGGGAAGAGGTCTGAACTTCATTCTATTAAAAACACAGGCTTGACTGTCATTTAAAAGCTGTGGACTATGTTTAGAGTCTGCTCAGCTGTCAGTGTGTAACTAATTTCTTAACACCAGGTTATACAACAAACAAAGAGAGTGAGCGCCGCTTTTAAAATGTGTAGGTTTTGGATGATGTCAATGTGAATGCAACGTAATGTTGATTGAGAAATCCAACCAGATATAGTAGAATAAGATTATAATTTATGGTATCCGATGACACTTAATGGCTAGAGAAACCTTTAAAGAGGATATGTCCAGTTACTGGCACTGATGTTGTTTTACACAACCATATTATTGTCAGAGTGAGGCCTCTGACAAGAYGGGCTAGAGTAGCATTTCATTACGCTGTCAGCTGCAACTGTTAGCATTCACAGTTAGCTTTTCAAGAGGATATTTTATCTTCTAGGACTCCGATTGGTAATAATTGTAATCAGTCGTGTAGTTTCAATTTGACAGTGACAGATTGGCTTTAGAGACCTAAATCAGATCAAACATTTGGTCTATATAATGCAGTTTTTAGTCATAGTGTCTCAGAAAACTAAGAAAAAAGGATTTTAACATTTCTGCCACAGCTCTGGTTTTTATTTTATTTTATTTTTTTACTTCCAAGTTTGGAGGCCGCTTTTATAAACTTTAGTTGAATTATCTGATTTTAAATGGCRTGTTTAACTCCCTCCTAATGTATTTTGGCATCGAACTTTCTAAAACTGTATTTTCCTTTTGGCAGGAGAGAAGAAGTTTGTCTGCCCAGAATGTTCGAAGCGCTTCATGCGGAGCGACCACCTGGCGAAGCACATTAAAACTCATCRGAACAAAAAAGGCGTGAACTCCGGCAACACCGTGGTGGCCTCGGTGGAGTCGGCAGGTTCCTCTGACAGCATCATTACGGCGGGTGGAACCACCCTCATCCTCACCAACATCCAGCAGGGCTCTAACAACGCCCAGGACATACTGGCCAACGCAGAGATTCCCCTCCAGCTCGTCACCACAGTCGCCGCCAGTGAAGTTATGAAGTGATTCGMTCTTCTTATGAACTCTTCTTATACTGTATACTCCTACGTGCATTTTTATTCAAGTTTTGAAGGAAAATTATAAATATATATATATATTTTAACACAGATTTAGTCCGTGTCTACTCTCAGTTGTCGTGGAGGAAAGAAAAGCAAGCGGGGACTAATGAGGAAACAAAGACGTTRCAGTAAACACACAAAGAAATGCCTTATTTTGTACAAAATTGGAAATGTAAGGTTCCACTTTGTTTTAATTGTACTTATTTGTTAATATTATGTTTTTGATGAGAAGTTATTTCTCTCACCTTTTTGTTGATTTATTTTGCTTTTGTTCTGTGGAAGCAAAACTTGTTCCGTTTTCCTTTTTAGCGGAGACGAAACCCCTCAGCAGAACTAATTTTATCTATCCCAAGTGAATTTATTATTTCACGTTATGTGGGTTTTAATTATTGTTGTGCATCATTATCTGGCACTTTGTCTGCTTGCAAAGCCCTTCTTCGTCCAGCTCTTTTTTYTTCTTTTTTATGAATTTGTTTTTACTCACTGCACTTAGCAGAAGAAAAATGAAAAACAATCAAATTTCTTTCGTAATTCCTCTAGACATATGTTGTTGATATGACACATTCTCTTAGAAGCAAATTTTACTCGACAGCTATTTTTTATTAAGTTTGTACAATGTAATACTCAGAAATGTTTAAATCTGCTCCAATGTGTGATTCAAATGTGTTTTTTCTACCCTTTCTTGAAAATTTTCAACACAGGAAAGAAATATATTTTAAAAAAGCCATGGTCTGGTAGTGTTTGCCAAATTGAACTCCAAACTCAGGGTGACTCTCCACTGCGTGCTATAAATACAGTAAATCACCCCATTAGGTTCTCAGGCTGCGGTGATTATTTTTCTTCCAATTTAATCAATGAAATGCTGATTAAGTTATTATGCCATGTCACCTAGGCCTGCTAAATCCTATCGCATCATTTTGTTAATTTTGCAACAGTTTTTACCACATATTCTGCTCCGAGCAGTGATTTCTAAAAGTGGTAAACACAAACAGCACCGTTCTCATCACGTTTATTCTTCGGGACAAAAAAAAAGTTTTGTAAGACTTTTGTTAATATTCCTCTTGACAGTAAATGTACATGTTTATTTGTACCTTTTTGTGTTACATTCCCCCTATTTTCCATGTTGCAGTACGTCGATTTTTTTCTCTGACTCTACATTAAATACAGATGCACACAGAACTGAACAGTGATTTTAACTGTAATGTGATCAGGTTGTTTTTTTTTTTCTTTCCTTTATTGAGACAATGAAGAATATGTTCTCTTTGTTGTCACTTCAGGATGTTTCTATGTCAGAGAACATGCAGCATATTTACAGTCTTTTAATAATAAATGCTGAAGGTTCGTCTTCATTTCAGTCTTCTGTATAAATCTGTTGATATATAACAATATAAATCTTTCTGTTACACTTGGTTGTTCTTTTTGGTTTGTTTTAAAAGTTGTAGATTGATCATACCTTGCTCGCTTCTTGATGGTGAGTTGCTATTTTATCCTAAGGTGTTTTTTTAAGGGATGTTTGCTAAAAAGCTTTTGATCACTATCTCAAGGTATGTCTGCCGTTTCAGTTTTATTTGTATTTTTTTCTCCTTCGCAGCTTACGCCCAGGGTTTTGTAGTCCAGTAGATGTCACTGCAGCCAAGGGAGCAAGAGGAGAGATGTTTGACCCCTTGACCTTCCCCAGGTAGTGCTGCTATGGTGCAGATAGGAGTCACGGAGGCCAACTGCTGGTGCAGACCCTCAATTAACTGCAAGTTAATGTCACCCAGAAATGTCAGGAGTATTCAGCTGCTGGAGAACAAAGCACTGCTTCATGACTTTGAACAAACCTTACTGAGACATGAGGTAAGACCTGATTCTGTGACCTGAGTTCATTCATACTTGAGTAGATTATTAAAGAATAGATTAATATAGGTCTCACATGTTTCCCCCAGTTTGTCTTTTTTTGTCCAGATTTGTTAAATTTTGTGTTAATTTAATATTTCCACTGCATAGTAGCACACACACACACTGCCCCGCTATGCCCCTTTAAAGGAGCTTTTCACTAATTAGGTACTGCTCCTTTTTTATTATTATTAGCCCCAAGACCATGGCGTCCGAGAATTACAAGCATATTATAGCCCTACCTGATATTAGCATTTAAGAGCATCATTAAAAGGGTGCTACGCAAAACGGCATTATCTGAWAAATCTGAATTATCGAGAAGTGCATGCTTTTAAGCCAGTTTGGTGAAAACAACTCAAAAGACGCGTTTTATAGTGTGAAAAAAAACGACTGGTCTATTCTCTCAGTCCTTTCATTTGCATAAATTAATGAATCAAATTCATTGTAATGCAATACCAAGTGCACCAGAAACATAGAATGACAGTTTGAGTTAATGAAATGTGTTAACGGTATCATCATTTACTTGTATGTTAATTAGTCCAATTAATTTCCCSTGCTCGGTAATCTGAATATTGTAATAATCTTTGCTTCCCTGAAGGAATAAAACCTGTGATACACAGACCTCAGGGACGATCTGTACTGGGGATTGTGGTTTTTTTTCTTCTTCCCTCTCTTTTTTTTTCCCAATTGTTGGAAGTATTGCAGGGTTAAAACTGATCCCAGTATGTACAGACATGCAATGTTTTAAGTRTTTTTTTCACTCTCAGCTTACATATTGTTTAACAATATTTTCAAATGGGGTACTTTTGGGGACAAAAAAATATGAGCATTTACTATCTTATCTGTTGTAGATAGCTTTTTAGCTTTAGTTCAGCAGGGTTTTTATGAACTTTATCTACAATTATTGATTGTTAACTTTTTCACATATAATGATTTAATAAAATTTAAACCATTTTAGGTGTATTTATATTGATTGATATCAAAGCAAGAATAATATTGTTTCATCTGACAGAGTGTTAAAAAGGCAAGTTTTTGAGATATTTCAGAGAATGGTTTCTGTTTTTGCGGCAGGTTAAAATGAAGAAACTAGAGACTTCATGGCCGCTGAACGTGATAGGCATATTCCACACTGCTGTTTCAAGTGACTAACTGGATGTAAGGCTAACTTTATCAGCAAACTCTCCCTTTATTTATGTTCTGACAAGTATGTCAGCATCACTATGAACCACAATAGGAGGAGCTTTCAGCCTCCCAGTTAATGAGTCTTAAGAAGACCCTTTGATTTAATTACAAAGAAATGCAGACTGTGACTTTGATTTGGTGAATGCAGCAAACACTCACAGATTCTTGTAATTGTTGCGGTGTGGGCATAACGTAAAGCACATTTTGCAAACTGAGTGAAAGAGAATTCATCTTCAATCTTATTCTGAAGAGCCGAAGCTTTTTCAATTACACAACGGAGGCGTCTTTTGTGACAGACGGGTATCATTTCTAACTGTGCTGACATTACAAGTTGTCCATGAGATTTTATAGCCACAGATAGCTTCAGTTGTTCTCTCTCAGTCTTCCAATTGCAGTCTTAATTGTACGTGGTGTTCAGCTTCTCCAATTCATGTGCAAAATGCATAAATAAAATAACTACGTAGCGGGAGAGGAACACTGTAATCATGCAATAACATTTTCGACTCTATGTGTGGTAGAATTCAAAATGCTGTTGGGATTATGGTTCTTAACCATTGGGAGGTAATGTGAACCRTTGGCAGAAATGACTTATTTCATTATGCTGTCCCAAATATATGAAATACTTCAGCAAGAGGGTTGCTTCTTCCCAAGCCGTGCCCAATTTTAACATTTTTTTTTTCTCCCAGTTGTTGAAGGATAGGCCTGCAATTTTACAAAATGACTATTATTTGCCTTTCTCAAGGAATCAACAACTTGAAAGTACAGTGCAATGAATTGTTGGGGTTCTGCAGCTGCATTCATTTACATTGTGGTTTTTTTTTCAGCGGCGGCTCAGAATTTAAAGCAGAAAACTGTTATTTTCTTTGGGATATGAGCTGCGAAGTCTTCATAAATGGAAAGCACTCACCATCCTGCCTAATGTATTTGTTTACAGCAGAATACTGATGCTGCCTTTTTTTTTATTAAACCATTAGGGCGTCGGAGACAGCATTTTTAAAAGTGTCGCGTCTCTACATCCCTGACACATTCTTGCCCTTGATCAACTACAAAAGTCAAATGCTCAGATCATTTTTCCCAGCATGGATCAACTCAATAACCCGATATTCCCTCTCACTTTGGAATGTGGCCAATTTAGCAGAAGGTCAGTACCTTTTTTTTTTTTTACATTGTAGACCATTTGGTGACCTCCCTCTGGATGCCCAGCAGGACCAGAGAAGACAAACAGAATTGTGGAGGCAAAAAGTGCTTGTATTCACATTGTGTTAAAGCCTGGACTTCTCAAGGTGAACAGATACCTGGAGTGGGACAGGGGAGCTATGTAAAGTAAAAAATGGTGACTAGTAGCAGTTTGATGCTCAGACAATCATTTTTCCTTGTATATCTTTGTTTAGTATTAACCACGTTGGATATTAACTTTTAAAAACTTATAAAAAATAGAAAAGTTTTTTATTTGCAGAGGTGCCCTTCAGTTTTAAATTAAGCACTCTACTCTCAGGGGAATTATGGTCTGACTATGTTCTATTTTATTAGGGTGTCCTTCAGACAAAATCTATCTTTGCTGTCTTTATTGTGAAAAGTCTCCTTCCTACTGTTTTGCATTTATACTATATGTTTTTTTTTTTTCAGATCCAACTGTGAAAATTGAATCTACAACAATGAGACACCTGCATCAAAATTTTCCACATTATGCTGTTATTCCCACACAGTATGTGTCTGTTTTTATGGAGGAGAAAATTGAATAAAATTACATCATACATCTATGAGAAGATTAGGACGGGTAATTCTTTTTGCCAGTCCCCACCGCAGTCATTTAGTTTTCACTCCGAATGAAGAGACTCTTTCTATTGTGCACCTCAAGGTCAGACAACTGCAACTTTCCTGGACTTGAGTGAGTGGGGGAAAAGACTACAAACGTGTGCTTGGTCTTTTCGTTTGGTGACAAGAGCTGGCTTTTAACCCACTGAAAATGACTTGAGATATGGAAAAAAGACATTTTGTGTCTGAAAATGTACATTAAATGGTGTCAAGAACATCTGAGAGGTCAGAGTATTGGGTCCACGTGGAGTCTGAATATGGCTGCTGCGCTCGGAGCCCCGGCACCCCTCCCTGAGTGGCGGCTCTGTGATGGCTCTCAGTTTCTCTCGTCATGTCCCTGGCAGCTTTGACACAGGTAATATGCATGCAAGCTGACAGTGCCTGGGATGTGCGGCAGAGACAATGATGTACATATCATTTTCCTYGCTGACTGATTGAAGACTGTAATCTGCGCTGGACTTTCTCTCTGATTACACATGTCTCAGGGAGCAAAACAAGGACTCTGAGCTGCCACTGGGCACTGTGTTCATCCAGGGCTTTCAGCCTTCAAGAGGACTGAAGTCCGCCTTTAAGGTGAGCTCAATTTTTCTCTCATTTACACCATTGTTACAAGTGTCGGATAGAATGCATCTAGTAGATAGTGGTCAAACAACGGCTGTCTGAAGATGACACAAAAACAGAGATGGATCTGCCACCCAAGGTCACTCCATCTCTATTTCCAGTGCAGTCACATGTTTAGCTCACCTGTAAGGCACTCACAAACAGAAAAACAATATGAAATTTACAACCACTGCTTCTGCACCTATAAAATACAGAGTGCAATAAAACTTTTCACACTCATGAAATGTGCATAATAAATATATTTAGTAAGCCATATTTTTAATAATTAAACAAGAGTACCAAGGTTGTTTACTACTAGTATGTGAAATGTTTACAACCAGCAGAGTCACATTTGTTTCTGTATAACCTTGTGAGGGGCACATGGGGTCTCCATGTGAAACCTGAAAGATTTCCCTGTTGACAATAGATCAGTCCTTTACATAAGGTACCTTGCACATTACAAGGTTGGTCTCCAGAGAGAAGTAATGGGTTCTGGGCAATTGACCAACCTGCCATGCTTTACTGCACCTGCACTGGGTTAGAGCTGTCATCATTACCACTTCCTCTAACGTTCCCCCACAGCAACCCAGACACTCCCACTTTGGGCGATATTTCACTTTGGTGGAACATTTTCCCTTTCTATGCGTCCCTCCACACACGAGTGGAGCTTAAGATCGAAAGCTTCGGGGTTACATCAAAGAGCGTTCGAGGCTCTGAGTCGTTTCTCAAAACAGATCCCAGCTACGTTCTGCCTCGAACTTTTGAGACCGACAACTAAGTTTTTCAGAAAAGAGAACATCTTAAGGATAAAAGGTTGTAAGAAATGTCTACCCGTATTTTATCTGTGTCAAAATATGAAGAAGATGAGGTTAGTCATTTGAATGGCATTTATCCTCTATTTTAGTTGGGTTATTCAAAAATGATTGCAAG